ACACTAAACACTATTATTTATTGCCATTGCTTGAAATAACTTACTTTTCAAAGGTCTCCCTAAAGGAGCGTTTACGTATTAAGAAAGCACACTCTACATGATTTTAGACCCCACACTCCTGTAAATGCAAAAATAAGAAAATCGCCCTCCCTTTCTCAGCAAAAGTAATCAAAAACTGAATCCCCCACCCCTTATCCTGCAGGCCTGCTTACGTAATACTTGGCGATACAATATTTACTTTTTGAGTAAATATAAGGTATCTTTATGTAAGTTAAACAATAATATTGTTTATTCTTTTTTTAACTTTTGGTCGACTTTAAATAAAGGTTATGATATAACGACCATGTTTATTTCAAAAGGTAAAGAGTGGATTATGCTATCTCTTTTTTTTAAGACTGATAGATAAAAATAGATAGGCTAATCCACTCTTTACCTTTTAAAATAAACTTGGTCATTATATCCTAACCTTTAAAGTCCAGCAATGTTTTAAATACCTATCTACCTATTATATAATAATATAATAATATATTATATAGTGCAATGATTTTTTCAGACCTTTAGACACGTTAATTTTGTTTGGCTATATTGGCCTGTTTAACCAAAATTTTTATTCGTTTCTATAATCTAGAGGTAAAATATACATAATTGTTTTTTATGTGATTCTTCGGCCAACCTAATATCACTCCAACATATAAAATTCAATATATATATATATATAGATAATAGTACACACATAAATATAATTACGTAATAATTATTACCTACACATACATTTGGTGGTTAATTCTATCAAATTCCACTAATTTAGCAGCTCTTTCATAATTCCAAACCAAATATTAACTAACACTAGAAACAATCTTCCAAAATGTCACTTTCGTGAGTGGGGGATATTTTTATGAATAGACCAGTCGTACCAATATTTACTAATCTTAGAATAACTATAATTATATTTATAGCCAGTATAGTTTTATATTTTTAAGAACAGAATATAGAGGGAATTAAATTAAGAATAAGATTATTTCATTTAAAGTCTTTCTTAACATTTAACAGGCAAGAATAAGATTTGCTTATTTAAAGAATATTTAGTTTGATATTAGTTTTAGCCTTAAAAATATTGGGTTAATAATCTTGTTTTAACTGTACTTGATTTGAAGTTAAGAAATAAAATCTTTTTAATTTAAGGATAGGTTAATATTTAAAAGAAATTTAATGTATTCGTAGCCTAAGTAAGCAAATTATACTTAAATCAAGTGCATTTTTTTAAGAATAAAGGTATTCTTACATTTAAAAAAAAAAATTCCGTGTACCTTCTCACGAAGAAAAATCCGGAAGAACAAAAATTCAATAAAATAAAAAAAACATTAAAAGAGGTGAACTGGGAATTATAAATCTTAAGTAGTTTTACACTTTAAACCAGATCCGATCTTTGCCTAACATAAACATAAACATAATAAACCACTTAACACCTCTAAATCTTATGCATCGAACAAAAGTAATAGCCTGATGGAAGCCTATAAAATATTAAAAAAAAAACAAATGTTAATATCAATTATTGAATAAAATAATATAAATGTAACTTCTTATTGTTAGAAAAGAATAAAAGAAAACGTAAATACCACGAAATGTAGACAACGAAACGCTCAGATATTTTATTTTACAAATTTTAAAGTAAAGTTTTAAATTGCATTTTATCGTACAGAATACAGAATAAACATTGTTTATCTACTCTCTAAAAATGAAATAGACAAAATTCTACTATTTGAATTAGTACCATTTTTGACTAATAAAACAGTAGTTTTCACTTTTAAATAGTTTTTTTTAACTACGTAAATAGTTAAAGTTTGACTAATTAAAGTTTAGTCACCATCTTTGATTATTTCTGAGAGTTAAAAGTAACTAATTTCTTTAATCGTTTGCGGCCAACAAAAAAGGTATTATTTGAATTAAATGCATATACCAAGGCTCCATGGTTAAATGACCCATAAAAACATATAAAGAGGCAAAAAGTTTAGCTCAAAACAGCAACACAAATAATATATTCAACTTTAAAATATTATGAACAATATTTATTGACAAAAAAATGGATTTTTATAAGAGCGGCTGATGGCCAAATGGGTTATGAAAACAGCTTGAAAAGTGACAGACCTGAGTTCAATCCCCGGCTGGGTCAAAACTTTTTTTAAATTTAAATCTACTAATTTAACTATTTCATTCAGTAGAATGTGAAATATGACTTATAATTAGTTATTTTTGACTAATTAATTTTAAGAGAGAAGTATTACGTAATAACATAACATAATACATAACATATATTGAAAACATACTTTATCAGCTTAGACCATTTAAATATGTTCACATTTTTTGTATTCTAAAGAAACTATATATGGGTCATTCCATCGTTTCGGGTGCGACATTTGTTTAACCAAATGATAAATTTGTATGTATTTTGAAATACTATGTAAACTAAAGCGCCTTATTCTCTACGTTTTTAGTTGTTCTATCTAAATTGTAAAATTAGTACAGTTTAGCTTATAGGATAACGATTTTATAAGTCGAAAGTATGCGTTTCGGGTGTTTCACGAGTTCTGGCCATTGTTACATTTCTTAGGAAAACATTCTTAAAAATTACAGGCCTCCAAAAGTATAATATTTACTAACCATATTCACTGTCACAAAAAAAGTTTTAATATTTTTTTAAATTTTACTTTGTTTCGGGTGTTACCATGGTTCTGTTTCGGGCATTACACAAAAATTAAACACTTTATATGGACAAAATCGGTCGTTTATTAGTATCTAAGTACTACAAAATAAGTAAGTAACAAATAAACGTACATAGAATGAATTTTCCTTTAAAGATTGATAAATCCTCACCATAACCTTACTTTTACTAAATATTATTACACTAATCAATCTATAAGGTATAATAATAAAACAATTACCTGATTTTTCGTTTCGGGTGTTACAGTGTCAAAGTAAAAAGAAAACACACTTATAACGTGATAATTATCAATTTTTTCGGGACTGTGACGCAATCCACCAATAAATAACCTTTAATCACAACGTGGCAAAACGGTTGATAGATTGACAGTTTTTTCTCCTTTGTATTTACAACAGTTAGAGGCACTATGCTCCACACCTCAAAGTCCCACCACGTGACCACGTACGGAACGCAGTCTTTTAAAAATTTGGCATTTAAGGCTTTTCAGGTTATGTATCTGCCAAAGTCAATGAAAGAAATAATATTTATAGTGTTACCGCTTATGTTTAAGCGTTAAAAGATAATAAATCTTTACAGTATAACAATAACAATGGTTGGTTTAAGAATTTGGTAATATAAATACTGCATTTAATGAAATTCTAAAGTGTATATACTGTATTTAATGAAATTCTAAACCGCATTTATTAAAAAAATCTAACTTCTCTATTATGGAATAAGAATATCTATATCAAAGGTAGGTTAATGTATTAGAACAAAAAAGATCATCTAATTTTGTATTGTTAGGTTAGAAAAATCTATTTTGACCAAAATAAATAAGTGGATTATTTGAAAGAGGGTGTTAATATGGTCATAAATAAATAAATAAATTGAAGCTTTTATACTTTTAACGACAAAACTTGTTCATACCTCTCGGCATACCTACTTTAAGTTAGATTATAAGAAAACAAACAATTTTTAGAGAAACATGCAATGTGAAAATATTTAATACTCCCATCACATGTGCTTTATTAAAATTTTTAAAGTTATAGGGATTTTTTGATGTAGATCAAATTCAGTCGAAGCTTTATTATAACTAGGTATTTGTATTGACAAAACTTTATGTAGGTACACTTTAAGCTGGATTAAAAAACTACCACATTTTTAAATACCATATTATACCTACAGTCTTTCAAATAATCCAAAATATTTATTTTGGTCAAAATAAATTTTTCTAACCTGTAAATTACAAAACTAGATTATATTTTTGTTATTAGTTATTTACGATATAAGTGGGATAAGATATTTATTAACATGCGAAATTTGCCCAACGAGTGCGTAGCACGAGTTAGGCAATCGCAAAAGTACGTTAATAAATTTTATCTACGCCTCTAAATGAAAAAATAAACGGTAATTATTTTTGTATAAGACTTAATTTAGGGTTATTTTGACATTTTGACTTTTTTATTTGATTGGTTAAAAACAGAGAAAAACGCGTGCGTTAATGAACTTCTTATCTCACTGAAAATGAGTGGGATATGAAGTTCTTATCTCACTGGCGTAGATAAAATATATTAACCTACCTTTAATACGGATATATATTTTTTTTAATAAATGCTGTTTAGTTAAAATTATTTGGACCAAATGCACAAGAATATTCTTCTAATATATATTACTTATTTGGCACCATACACTTTAGAATTTCATTAAATGCAGTATTTATATTCCTAAATTCTTAAACCAACCATTGTTATTGTAATGTTATAAAGATTTATACATTTTTAACGCCCAAACATAATATTTCTTTCGTTGAATATACTTTGACAGATACATAACATGAGAAGCCTTAAATGCTAAATTTTCACTTTGAGGTGTGGAGCCAGTTTACAGATTTTGAAGACTAATTAACTTAAAATTAAGCGTTTCTTCTAGTTTTTTTTGTCGCACATTATAATTTGGAATGTTTTCTTTTAAAATTCATTATATTTAATGCAAAAAAACATATTAATTTTTTTACCCTCAGTATTGTTTTTCATGGAATGACCCTAAAGTTTAAAATAGCATTTTATCGTATAGAACCAATAAACATTGTTTATCTATTATTATATATTGAAAACATACTTATCAGCTTGAATCATTTAAATATGTGCACATTTTTCGTATCCTAAACAAACGATATATACTTTTTAAGTTTTTTATAAGAGCCATTTTTGGAGGTTTATTATTACTTACCTACAGATTTTGTGATTTAAATTTTTGCCTTGTAAATCTTTGTCAAATTATGGAAATATAAAGAACAACACGATGTACAACAATGATAACAAAACATTTATTTATTAAACAACATAGCTACAGACAGAATCATTTCGATACAAAACAATTATTGTTCCTTCTTTTGTTTCTTTGATGTTATCTTTTTGTTTGAAGCACAACATTTATTAAAGAGCAAGTATAATAAATAAATTGGCATGAAAAATACTAACAAAGTGGCGGAAATAACATCGACCAGGAAAAATTGATACCAGGGCAGAGTTGCTGTAGGACTTTTTAAATGCGACGTACCGTTATGCCTTATTACGTATTCAATCCACCATATTACTTTTTCCAGTGGTTTCATGGGTTCATCGTTCCACAGGTCGTTGATTTTTTTTACATTTTCTTTGTACCTAAAAGTAAGTTATTCAGTTATTGTGTTTGAGCTCAGCACTAAAAGGTCTGCCCTTTCTTTGCTATCAAATATAAGTATATTGCGAATTTTGTTTTTTTTTCGATCTCAAAGGACAGCAGACTTACTTCTTGTTGTTTATAATTTCCATGATGGCGGACTTAAATTCATCAACGCTTACATTATCTGGATTAATTCCAATGGCAGCTTCGATTTTCTCGAGACGTTTGATGTGCATCAACTGATCAGATATGAACGGGCAACATATAACCGGGACATTTCGTGAAAACGCCTCCTCCAAAGATTGCAACCCGCATTGCATTACGAATCCTTTCACGTTTGGATGTGCTGAAATCAAGAGAAATTTACTACTAGAGAGCAGCGATAGAGAAACTGTAGAACAGTTTTGTGACATAGTCTATTTTCCATAATGAAAATAAAAGTTTTTTATTTATTTGAAAATATCTTCGATATCATTAAAGTAACATAAATTCTATATACCTAAATAATATATTTAACATTTTTCTATTAGATTATCGTTAATGCTGGAATTGACTGTTTAATGTCCGGTATACAAATTGGTGTTAACTGTTACTTTACCTAAAACGTCTTGCTGTGGTACCCATTTTTTAGTCAGTATATTTTTCGGCAAGTTTTTTAAATTGTCCGCCTCGTATTTCCATAACACCTTGTATGGTATTTTTCCCAAAGCTTCAATTAAATTGCTTCTAAACTTTTCTGGTACCATGGAGCTAAGAACGTTAGATCCTAAGCTAACATATACCACTCCTTCTTTCGCATTATCCAGGTAGTCTTGGTAATCCTAAAACAACATATCGGATATTAGACTAGTAGTACTACTAATGAATATTTTCATACATTGATGTAGATACCAAAAAAAAAGAAAAATTCTTGTAATTTTTTAACACGCCTCGTATCTAGGTAAAGTTGTAATTTTTAAAAACAGTTATTCAGATCATTCATTTTTTGAAGGTTATCTATAATTTTTAGAAGGTCATATAGATCTATAATATCCTATTTATTTAATGGTTTATACTGAATTGTACTGGAGCTCAAAATCGGACACGGTGTTTTCAATTATAAATGGCATAAATACCTTTGGTAAAGGTTTGGTAGGCTTAAGATGTAACCTCCCGATTTCCATATGAGTTGGCACTTGTGGCCTGGGTACAATAAGAGTAGGATTTGTGGTGGTAAACAAAAAACTTAACTTCTTAACCGATTCACCCAAGTAAGGTATATCGTTGCCCAAATATTTCCGTGCTATGGCATCGCTTTTAGGCATGCCTTCGAAATATATGAAATATCTGGCCCAGAGGTAGTAAAAAGTGCTGTGCCACCTTTCCAAGAATGTTAACTCTCCTTGGTATTCGGTATACATGTCTGTGTACACAGCTGGATGATGAGGGTTACCTATTTCAAAATGTTGACCTATGAATGCGTTCATGGAGTTGATAGCCACCACAGGGGCGTTGTAAATTTCACCTAGAGCGTGAAATATAGGCCCTACGTAACTCTGAATGATAATAAGGTCGAATTTAGTGTTGGGATTTTGATATATCTTTTTGAACTGTTCATTTTTTAATATTCTTTCGGCCAATAAATAGTTCATTTTGTACACCTCTTCAATTTTTCTATGCGGCCAAGCCCTAACACTGTTGGTTTGAATAAAGTTAAATTTATCCGTTAAAATTTCCCTCAAGTACCCTAAATCTATCTCCGTTAGGTTGACCAAAGTAGGATCTTTCAGGGGTGCAGAAGTTAGCACGGTAACCTGGTGTCCTCTCAACGATAACTCCCTCCAAACAGGTTGAAAGACAACCTGGTGGCTGTTCGATGGCATTTGAAACACGCACAATATTTTGGCGCATTGCGAAATGTTCACAACACCGCACACAACTATAAATATAAGTAAACTTATCGGTATCATTTTTGTGACTGACTGGTTCGTTGAACGATGATCCGATTTTAAATTAAGTTCTTCAAGGTCGCAAGCTAAACACTTTATTAGATTAGGAACACTATCAACTTTATTATATAATACATATATGACGAATTAAGAGCAAAAAAGCCATATCTGACGAATGTTTTCGACGAAAATTTTCAGAACAAACTATTATCTAGATTAGGGTGTCCCTTATTTTTATTTTTTTTTACGCATACCCTCTAATTATATTTATTACGTGTTTATAAACTCCCAGTAAAAATTTCAGCTCATTCTATAAACGGGAACCCGTGCCGACTTGCATCTGAACCCTCCGTTAGCCAACGTTAGGCGCGCGGTATTTTGTAACACGGTTGGTCACGAGGTCTTCGATCAGTCATTTTGTGTTTGTTATTATGTGACCCTTCTATTATAAATTATTGACAAATGTTAAAATATAGTTTTATTTATGTGTACTTTGATAAAAATGTATATTTTCACAGGGAGTGGCTAGTTACCCGGAAGGGTCTGGTGAATAGGCCGTAAACTCTGAAATTGATAAACTTAATGGGTTTTACTCTAAATAACTAAAAGAGTCTATTGTGAGAGATGACTACCGAAAACTTATTGAACTGTCTGAAATATTTTTGGGAGGACACCAAGAAAAGAAATGCTTATAAAAAGCTGAAATTTCATATAACAGTATATTTTAGCAATACTAATTATATTAATATATTTAAGGGATAAAATCAACTAAATTAGTGAAACAATGATAAAAACAAAAACAATAATATTAATTGGTAATCATATTTAATAAAATCATTAGAAAAATACAGTCATGAAGTATATCTTCTTTTTAAAGTGTTTCTTGTTACAAAATACCGCGCGCCTAACGTTGGCTAACGGAGGGTTCAGATGCAAGTCGGCACGGGTTCCCGTTTATAGAATGAGCTGAAATTTTTACTGGAAGTATATAAACAAGTAATAAATATAATTAGAGGGTATGCGTAAAAAAAATAAAAATAAGGGACACCTAATCTAGATGTCCAAAAAATTGTGTACCATTGTTTTAGACAAAACTTCAACACGTTTGCTTGTATCCATAGAACAGAGTGGCAATGGCAAGCCAATAAATATGGAATGAATAGCAAAATGGGGTTGTGATGGATCATCCGGACAGGGACAATGCAAGCAAAAATTCTCAAGCTCATCCACTACAACCTATTTCAGTATATTTATGAGTTCAATGGTGCCAGTCTTACTAAAGGATGAACATGATGCGAAAATGGAAGACTCCTCAAACTTCTACAACGTATTGCATGCCCATAAAATTCGAATACCCACATAAAAACATCTGCAGATGTAATTATAAGAGAGTTAGAACAAATCAATTTAAAACTAGAAAATTATATACCAACTAAATATAAAAATTGTACCATCAAGTACACGATGCTTTCTACGATGTTGGATGGAAAAGTTGGCAAGTACTTACTGGTACCCCTTCATCACAAGCCTGCATTAATTGTGGGGCAACACCCACAAATGAACGATTTGGACATAATTAAAGACAAATATGTGAGGGAAGATTCCTTTAGTATGGATTATCAAGTTAACATGCCTGAATCCGCTTTATGGAGTGCATTCTTCATATTGCTTATAATTTCTCATTTAAGTCTTGCCGGCAAGGAGTGAAAATAACAAAGAACTAAGACAAAAAGAAAGAAGATGTACACTGAGAGAAGGTTTTATTTCAGCGAAAGGCATAACGTTTGTTTCAAACGTAAAACATATTTAAATACGGCGCTTCCGGATAACTGCTTTTGAACGAAAAGCATGTAGATTTGTCTCAAATTTGCTGATTTTGAATTCTTTGTGGAATACTTTTCTGATAAATTGGTAATTGCTTGCTACCAGTATAGTCGATTTTGAATTTCTTGGCAAGTAACTTTAGCAAAAATTGGTATCTGCTTGTTACCAATAAAGTTCTTTTCCATTAAACGTACCTACCTGCATTTCTAAAGAAATTACGGTTTCTTTGGATGAAACGCCATATTGATTAAGAATATTGTATAAATCGTCGGCCTTATCAGGAAGTGGTAGTCCGGGAGGCAGTGAAGATTTTTATCTTCTTATTTTCCCAGTTTGTGAATGTCATTTAGTTTGTTCAAATGGTGACACAAAACGACAATTTGTGTGTCTGGCTAAAATTTTCGGATGGGTTCACTAGATGAGCCAAAAAGTCAAGTCCACTTATTTTCCCAGTCATAAATATTTCACATTAATTAAAGTGAGTCATTTTATTAATGGAAATAACAGTCTGGCACATCCCAAGTGAAGGAAAATCAGTCTGGCTAAAAATTTGCGGAAGCAAAAATTTGACCGGTTTTTGAAATACGTAGCCCTTATTTTCCCATGCTTAAAATTTAACCCATTATTTGGTACTGTCATAAACTATAATCAAAATTAAGTCTGGCTGATTTATGAAATTGGTAAATTGTTCTGGCGGCATCTTGAAAATCGTAAGAATTACAAAAATTTTGCTCTTATTTTCCCGGATTTGAAAATTTGTCACATGATAAATAATACTATAATTTCGTAGAAAATACACGTCTGGCTGTTATTTACAATCACGAAAGCCCCGCCAGACTCACAAGTCAGATAGCAGAAACTCGCGTTTGAATGGGAATTTTCCCGATTTTCTTTTTTTTTATTGATATAACTCAAAAACTAACGGAGATACAAAAGACTGTCAAGAGATCGATTTTGTAGAGAATCCTACAAAAAACAGCTGCACAAATTTTCTCGTATCTCTGATAGTTACAAAGTTATTCGCGAATAAAGTTTTTTGGTGGCGGACGGACTGACATTTTTTTTAGCCATATTTAAATTTTGCTTTAAACAAATTATTTTCTTATCATTTATTATGAAAAGTAAAAACATGTAGAGATGACAACAATCGCCTGTATAATTGAAAATGCCGAATTTAGCGCGCTTGTGGAGGGTTGGACGAGTCTGGCAAGGCTTTCGGAGTGTTCCACATTAGCCAGACTATATTTGCAGCTGTAATTATAATATAAACTCACAAAATTTTTAGGACTGCGAAAATAAGGGCAATGGTTTTGATAATTTTTCCATCTGCCAGACATATTACCCATACTCACAGATTAGCCAGACTATTTTTTTTCTTAAGTTCACTATATCTCTCACTAATGGAATTATTTTTATCACTGGAAAAAAAGTGCAATATATTTGTACTTTATAACGCATTTTCCGCCTTAACCCATCGGAAAACCCCCCCCTAAATATATATAAATTTTGCTCAGAATAACAAACCCAATAATTGTATTGGTGTTTGCCGACTGGGAAAATAAGTACCGAAAATCTTCACTGCCTCCCGGACTATGGTCTAACCCACAAAATTGAAAAACAAAATGAGATTTTTCGCAGATTAACTTACGATAGTCCATTCCATTCTCATGAAATGGCCTATGTATTTTTACATGTTTTTTACCTCGTGGAGTAATAGAATAGACTCGCAAAATGTCACTATTTTCAATTTTGTGGGTTAGGCCATTTCGTGATAACGCCGAGTATTTATACAATATTCTTAAACGTTATGCCATTTCATCCAAATGTTTTGATGAAAGCAAAATTATTTTGTAATAACCGTAAGTATACAGTGGAGGCAAATTTAAAACTTTATAAGACACTGTAAGTGCACGAGAAGATACGTTTCAAGAGGCGTTCCCCCACTCCAAAAATTGCGCTTTCCAAACTAAGCACAATTGCCCATTAACTTTGATATGTTTGCCACAAACTTAATATATTTGTTTCAAATGCTGAGCTTTTCGCAAAAATTGTAGCAGATTTATTATAAGTTTTATCTATTTCAGTTAACCCATTAATAAATTTTAGTGGAAAATATTGCACGTTTTATGAAAACCCACCTAAATTTAATTCAAACGTAAAAAACCTAATATTATTGACTATCAGTACAAAGTTTGCATAGAACTTAATAATATTCCAAGCAAACACAGCAGCCTAAACGAATCATCCATTTCTGGCAAAGCAGTTCACCCATTCTAAGCAAAAGCACTAATATTGAATTAAATTTCAGTTGTTTGATTCAAAGCAATCAGGCTCAAACAATTGCAACGTTTGTTAAAAATATTCTTTTCCCTCATGAATATATTCACAATGAATTGAATTGAACTGGAAATTTCTATGACTGAAACACTGTCAGAAGATTTTTTCAAGATGCCCTGAAACCTTTTTTAACTTAATTAAAAGGTTTCCATAATTTTACAAGTGTTAGCATGCATGCAGTGGAAATATTGACACTGTAAAATTTAAGGAGTACTCTCGTTAAACTGCAGAATTATATGTATACTTATATCCTTGGTATATGCCGGCTTCTTTGCATAGAATTCTTATTCACGGATATCCGATCCGATTTTATAATAAGTAACTTTTCCCTGCCAACAGGACGACTATCAAAAGAAGCACAGGAAGTACGAAATAAGGATTATAAAAAATAAGAGAATTCCATAGGAAAAAATTGAGTACAATATCGACAAATACAGATTTAATTCAAAGGTTACTTGCAACATCTGACCCGATGATGACTGGTAAAAGATAATATTTCACTCCCAAACATTGACAGGATGATAAAGCTTTAAATTTATTATTGTTAGAAACTGCATATTTGTAAATATAAATACTTATACATATATCTATATAAAAAAATTCAAATATGTAATGTTATTTAATTTTAGATTAGGTATTAGCTCCAAGTTACTTTATAAAGTAACTTGGAAATTTACAAATTAATTAACCGTTTTTTATATTTATAATATATATATATATATATATATATATATATATATATATATATATTATATACAGGGTGTCCCGAAATTAGGGGGCCAAACTTAAACAGTGCATTCTTCATAGAAAAGTAACATATTTTTGTTAAATAAACATGTATCAAAAAATGCCCCCTAACG